TCCCTTCCCTACCCCTTTTAACAACTGCAGGGAAAACAATGTCTAGGACCCTCTTTTAAAATTCAGATTCCCAGACCAAGTAATTGCAGTTTACAGCAAGCCCTGGTCAGGATGGAAATCTGCGCTTTCAAGCACTCTAAATGGTCCTTAAGATCAGATACAGCACTAGCCAGGAATGTTAAATGAGTTCTGTAAACTGGTGGCACCTGTTCTGGTACCTCTTCAATCCTGTTTAGGTTGTCTGCTCCTGAGATGGGCAGATACACAGGACCAGTCACTACACCCTCACGCCAGAAGGGGGCAGTCCAGATTACTCTAGGTTACTAAATTCAGGAAGGATGTGCTTGTTCTACAGACTTTGTCTGGACAAGACCAGCAGAGAGACAATTTCGAAACAGCCCAAGATACTTGGGCAGTCCTGGAAGCCAAGGGCAAAAACAGAAGCAGTTTGTAGGAATGCATGGGATGGAGATCTGATTGCTCTACCAATTTGGGAAACAAAACGGTCATCAAAATGTAAGACAGCGAGGCGCCAGGAAAGGCCCTCTTCACTCATGTGCTCGATTCCCCCTTATGGCAGAGTTCCAGTTGGGCTGAGTCTTGCGAGTGTCAGGATAGAAAAGGGCCAATTTATGGAATCCTAATATTGGACAATTCATCTGAATTAAGAAGAGACCTTGTAGGGATCAGATATACGTTCATGATTCACTGAATTTCATGTAAAGGTCACTGTCATTTCGTAGCAAAGATTACAGACCACAGTAAAGCTGACCCTTTCCGGACTACAACCTCTGCCCCCTCCCCTCAGCACAACAGCAGTCCACCAGCAGATGGGACAGCTCTCTGGCTCTCTACCTTTCAAATGAAAATAGGTGAAAAAGAAATAAAAATTGGGGTCGAAGTGTGGCATTCCATGTCGGAGTGACAGCTTAGCATCCTGGCTATTCCTGTGGTGATCCAATTTCTTGCTAATGTACCTAGGAAAGCAGCAGGTAATGCATGGCCAAGTACTTGCATTCTTGCCACCCACAAGGAGCCCGGATGGAGTTCCTGGCCTCTGACTTGGGTCTGCCCAAGCCTTGGCTATCCCACCCACTGGGGAGACAGGGGCAGAGGGGAGGACCAGTGGATGGAAGATATTTCTGTCACTGATTCTCCCTCTGTCCCTGGCTCTTTGTCCATTCAGTGCATCTATTAAAATAAAATGCCTCGGTAAACATAATAGACAACATTAATCAATAGATTACCACTAAGGCAATTTAACAGATGTGAGAAAAATTAAAGAACTTACTCAGAATTTACCAGTTGCTAAGACTTGAAATTAACAAAATGGGAAAGAAAATATTTTGATTGGAAAAAAATCCTATGGTATTTCTGATCTGGCCAGAGTATTCTTTCTAGCACTGTTTAAAAAATTTCAGACTGCAACTCATCAGTGCATTGTGAGTTTTTTGTTTTATGGCTTGTTTGTTTTAAAGAAAAGGAAAAAGAAAATACCATAATGGACTGTGTGTAGAAAGGTTACCAGCAACACTCTTAATTCCCTGAATTAGAAAAATAATTGCACTAAATCCAATCCTGGGAAGACACTGGTTTAATATAAAAGAAAGCACTTCAAAAAGTTTATGGAGGGCCCGGCAGTGTGGCCTAGCAGCTAAAGTCCTTGCCTTGAATGCGCCGGGATCCCATATGGGTGCCGGTTCTAATCCCAGCAGCTCCACTTCCTATCCAGCTCCCTGCTTGTGGCCTGGGAAAGCAGTCGAGGACGGCCCAAAGCCTTGGGACCCTGCACCCATGTGGGAGACCCGGAAGAGGCTCCTGGCTCCTGGCTTTGGATTGGCACAGCACCAGCTGTTGCGCTCACTTGGGGAGTGAATCATTGGACGGAAGATCTTCCTCTCTGTCTCTCCTCTCTGTATATCCACCTTTCCAATAAATAAATAAATCTTAAAAAAAAAAAAGAGAGAGAGAGAGAAAGCAACTAGTAGAGAGTTAAATAAGTAATGGTGATTAGAATATAGGATAAATATTAGAATGATGCTGATTAATTAATTGCTGAGCTACCCACTAAGTTTGGCCTCTGTAATAATAAGTGCTTCATTTGCTGCAAAGGGAAATCAAGATAAAACCATGACGGGCCTCGGACAGGCTAGGCCGAAGTTTCAGTTACCTTTACCTGCTTCCCCGAAGTGGGCCGCCACACACCCTAGACAATTGACCAACAGAGACTTGAAAGGTCCCTAGTCATCAAGTGGTCATGGCGATAGGGGCTGACCACTGGGGTGGACATGGATAAGAGACTGACCAACAGGGTGATCACGGGTGATAAAAACTGTCTAATTACAATCTTTCCAATGCCTGTTTGTAGAATCAGTAGCCCATTCCTGGAACTGCAGGCAAAACCCTATATAAACTATGTGAAATGTATGGTTGGGATCCTTGTCAAGACTCCACTGCGTTAGATGAGACTTGGACCCTTGCGCACTAGCAATAGTTCCTTTGCTTTTGCCTTATGGAACATGGAACTCCTCTGCTCAAGGCAGTGGGATAAATTCCGGACCCAACACCATCACCTGCTTCCTCCCTGGGTGCACATTAGCAGGATGCCAGATCAGAAACTGAGGAATTACATCTTGAACCAGGCACTCCATCAGGGGACACAAGCAGCTCAGCAACAACTTAAGCTTCTGTTCCAAATGCATGTCCCTAAACTTATCTTTTAATTCCATTTCCGATACACTTTGTAAAGTACTCCAGTATAGGGCCCAGCACAGTAGCCTAGTGGGTGAAGTCCTCACCTTAAATGAGTCAGGATCCCACATGGGCGCCAGTTCTTGTTCTGGCAGCCCCATTTCCCATAAATATCCTTGCTTATGGTCTGGAAAAGCAGCACAGGATGACCCAAAGCCTTGGGACCCTGCACCCACATGGGAGACCCAGAAGAAGCTCCTGGCTCCTGGCTTCGGATCAGCTCAGCACCAGCTGTTGCAGCCACTTGAGGAGTGAATCAGTGGACAGAAGGTCCTCCTGGGCTTGGCAGCATGGCCTAGTGGCTAAGGTCCTCACCTTGAACACACCGGGATCCCATATGGGCACCGGTTCTCATCCCAGCTGCTCCACTCCCCATCCAGCTCCCTGCTTGTGGCCTGGGAAAGCAGTCGAGGATGGCCCAAAGCCTTGAGACCTGCACCTGCATGGCAGACCTGGAGGAGGTTCTTGGCTCCGGATCAGCACAGCACCAGCCATTGCATTCACTTGGGGAGTGAATAATCGGATGGAAGATCTTCCTCGCTAACTCTCCTCCTCTCTATATATCTGACTTTGTAACAAAAATAAATAAATCTTTTTAAAGAAAGATCTCCCAGTCTCTCCTTCTCTATATATATCTGACTTACCAATAAAAATAAATCTTGAAAAAAAAATATCTGGCTTGGTCTGGTGTGGTAGACTGGTGGTTAAAATCCTTGCCTTGCATGCCCAGGCTTCCATATAGGCACCAGTTCTAATCCCCCTGGCCCCACTTCCCATCTAGCTCCCTGCTTGTGGCCTGGGAAAGCAGTCGAGGACAGCTCAAAGTCTTGGGACCCCGCACCTGTGTGGGGGACCGGAAAGAACCTCCTGGCTCCTGGCTTCAGATCAGCTCAGTTCTGGCCATTGCGGCTACTTGGAGAGTGAACCAGAAGGTAGATCTTCCTCTGTCTCTCCTTCTCTCTCTATATCTGCCCTTCCAAGAAAAATAAATATTTTTTTAAAAGAGAGAATGAAAAGTATCCCACAAGGACAGTGGGAGGAGTCACATCATCACAGCTGATTGAACAAGAAGCCAGGCAATTTTAGACGTGTGACAAAACAGCAGACACTTCCACCAAAGGGACATGAGGCGCAATCTAAGCACAGAGCTGCAGCCTAAGGACGCAGCTTCTGGAACATTAATTCAGTGTTTTTATTTTCACTATGTTATTGTCACACATACTGAAAACTCTAAAGTAAAAGGCTGAATACAGCTAAAGCCACAGGCTTATTGTCTCAGAGCTGAGTATACTACTATTGTTGAGAAACCAAATGGCTATACACATAATTAAAACTTCTGCTGGTATTTAAACCTCTTTCCAGATCGTTTCCAGCATTGGCTATTTAAGGGACTGGGAAGAAAACACATCATCTCTGCTGACTTGCTTCAGTGCGGCACACAGGTGGAACGCTTGCTGCAGGTGCCGTGCCATGCCCAGGGCAGCTCACAGAAGGATCAGAATTGAAAATCTAGCCTGGAAGGTCAACTCATGCCACAGAAAACCCCAAACACCCAGTGCCCCTCTGCGGGGTGGGGACTCACTCAAAGGGACAATCGGGGACACTGCAGCCGTTGAGAGGGTGGAGTTTTGAGTCGGATTCCTGGCCTTGCTGCTTAGTAGCTGTGTGATCTTGACCAAATTCTCCTCATCTTGTTGCCTCCTTTGTAAAAGAGAAATGATTAAACTCACCTTCTGGATTTCTATGCTCTGTATGCTCTATGTTCTGTAAACAGCACTTCAGGGCAGTGCCTGGCACAGTGTGTATTCAGTAACCACTACTAAGAAGTAATGCTTTCATATATTAAATTTTTTTTTCTCTTTCAATTAACATCATCATTGATCCCAAATCTTGGAATTAATGATGTCAGAGTAGACATTCCTATCATAAATAGTATGTCTTAATGACGTAGCATTAAGATACTACGTCTCGGGCCGGCCTTCTGGGTGCACTCTTGGGCACCTGTGCAGGCCACTGTGGCGTGGCATCCGACTAAGCCAATGAAGGAATGATCCAGGCGGGTGACAGCAGGATATGCAGATACTGAGGGACAAGGGCCAGCACGGAAGAATGAGCAGCTCAAGTTTACTGAAAGAGTAGCTGTATAAATCCTATCAAGCATGTCCCATAAAAAGATGCCTTCCGGAAGGAAAGTGTATATTCAACTTAAGTAGATTAATTTGCCTTCATTTGCATAAAACCTGAGCTAGTTCATCAGGATGCACAAGTTTTACTCAGTGGCCCAGTGCCAATGAAACAGTGATATTCATTCATGGTCAACAACCTCACAGATGTGACAGGTCACACTGCCTTTTCACCCAAGAGACCATTCTGCTCCCGGAAAGCTTATCCATGAATACACAGGAAAGAAAATGAGGGTCTTAACATCGTGACACACGCTTTTTAACATTCTTAAAAGTCAAGGGTTTAACCATCATTACAAATGCTGTACTGCTTACAGTGAAACATGGACCGTGTCTGCTTACACATGCCAGTCTGTACAAACTGAACTTGCAAACAGTCCAGCTACAGTATGCTTCAGAGCTGCCATAAACCACACAGGACAGCATTGCTGTGATCTTGCTCATCCTCTACTCAAGGGCCCCCAAACAGAATGTGCACAGCATAACACTATTTGTGATAGTTTTCTTTTTTTTTTTTAATTTATGTTTCTTAAAAGAAAAAAAAAAAAGACTCCATACAGGTCACACACTAACCTACATCACAGAAAATGCCAGGTGAGCATTCAGTCACTTCTACGTGGAAGTTCTGAAGGACTGAAAAGGCCCAGGATTGCCATGCCTGCCCTGACAAGGACAGGTCAAGTTTTCAATCCTCATGACCAAGTCAAGATGTGCTAGGACGGCCCCCAGGGCGCTGTGTCTGAGCTTCGTGGTTCCAGCCGCAGATCTGAGGAGCAAATGTGGCCATGTGCCTTGCAATACGCCACTTTCTGTTTCAGAAATCCAATGTAAAAGAACTTCCACAGGTGTTGTATTTCAATAGCCCAGACCTGAAAAACTGAATGTGTACAGCTCCCACGGCTTCTACCCATTAAGAGGTCAAAGGTAAAGCTTGAGGATTAATCTATTATTAGTGTAGGATTAATCAAGTGAACACTTACTAGCATGAACTTGACTCCAGTTCCCTAGGATAATTTTTGCCTTTCCCCCAAAGAATCATTTGCTCTTGAAGTAATAGGCTGTTTAAGGCACAGTTTAACAACCACTCAACACATACCCAGCTTAGAAATGGAAGTTCCACTGGGGACGGCAACCCCTATAACCTAAGGAATACAGGAGTTTCCAGACAGGCACATGTCTTGATCTTGAGGATAAAGTCCTATTAGAAAAGTGATTCTTTATTTGCTTATTCAAAGAGAAATGTTTAGTAAAAAAAAAAAAAAATAGAGAATTAGATTTCTAAGCACAACCCACATGTGCCCACTCCTGTTGGCAAAGGACCGACAGGGGACAGCTTGGACAACTCCAGAGATGAAGATTTCCCTGGGATCCCGCACTCCTGCCCAGCCAGATTTACGGACAGGAGTCAGGTGCCTTCATTATTTTCAAACCTCTCCTTCCAAAATATACAGCCCTTTGGGAAGCTCAGATGTTAACCCCAACCAGCTCCCATCTTCAGCCTCGGCCACCTGCTGTAGAGGAACAGGATTTGAGGAAAGAACGGCAAAGGATGGAAAGAAGCCATGGGGAGAAGTGGGCCAGCTTGAAGGGTACGTTACTTTCAGAACTTTGTATTTTGCCAGGACCAGCCCTGATGACCCCAGGAGGCTCTGCTTTCAAAACACCAGAAACTCTTTCCTAATGCCTTACCCCCACCCCAAGCAGGCCTCAGTATGCTATCCCTTGATCTGATCTCAGAATTATCTACCTGGAATAGTCGGACCTAAGGGTAGATTTAGGACTTTTGATTGGGTGAGAGAATGTCACATGAACAAGGCCAAGCAGTCGGCCTCCGGGCAGGCTCCCCAGTACTGCTGGGGACACTGGTAGCCGGCTGAGCTGCAGCATAAGGTAGGGACAGGCAGAGGACGCGAGGCACAGGACCAGAGATGAAAAGGAGCCTAGGAGAAGATGGACAGGATGATGCTTTAAGCTGGGGAGCTGAGACCGGTTTTCTACGCTGACCTTTATATGCAGCCATTACCCAGGAACCAAACGCTACTGTGTATGCTGCTTTGCGTGTAGGCGGCAGTCAGGCACCTACAAAGGGAAACCTTTGGCCCTTTGCGGTACCTACGGAAAAGTCTTCCAAAATGCTACCATTTGGCGGCGGCCTTATTTCTCTCCAGGGATTGGCACCATTCTGGAAATCCAGGCCTGGAGTCTCTGAACAGTAGTAACATAGTGTAAAAAAACCACCTCTCTACAGCCTGGGAGCCCAGAGAGGCGTGCGGAGGTAAAGAACTTTGCCAGAACTCCCAAGTGGGGAGTGCAGCCACGTGACAGAAACTTGGAGGCGAGCTGGGTGCTAAGGATAGTCCGCAGAAGTCCTGTTCCCCTGGCGACCAACAGGGCTGCCCTGGAAGCCGCCTGGCCTCAACACCCGGCAGCAGCCCGCCCGCCACCACAGCCCTTTTGCATTCACTGCTGATTGCCATAGCAAGTGCTTGACACCAAAGCAGAAAATTCGCTTAGAAAAGTCGTTTTATCAAAGTTGTTCAGTGAGGAAAAAAAATGAAAAAGTGCAAAATATGTACAGTTCCCGGCAGTTCTCACTTGCATTTTTATGATTAGAGATCACAAAAGTTTACATTGGTGTAACGAAAGTACAGTGGATTTCACTTCATTGTTGATATGCAAGTTTTTGCTTCAAAGTGCTTACTTTATTTAAAAAAGAGAAGATCGAGAGGGTTGCAGGGTGGTACTTCTTTCTTTTTTTTTACAACATGTCCATGTCCCGTGTCACAGTGTCCTGCCTCTGCTGTGGAGCATCAGCGCAGCAGCCTCGCAAGGGTCCAGGGTCGGTCCCACAGATGCTCTGGCGGCCGCCCCTACAGCAGGACCCGGGGTGTGCCGTTAGGGGTGGCGCCTTTCTTCTGCAGCCGACTCTGAGCCTTCCGAGATTTCACCACTTTCATTCTGACCTCAAAAACCTCATGGATGGCCTTCCGGAAGCAATGAAAATTATAGTCAATGAGTCCTACAGAAGAAACAAAAACATTGACAAACGTCAAATTCCCTCCCCCTTTCCGGGTCAGCCATGGCCAGCACACGCCAGTAGGGGGCAGCAGAGGAGCAGCCTGCGATCTCCCCAGGTCGGGGAATGCTTTCCTTTCCTGTGGCAAAGTTCCAGAATGTACACTCACTGTTGGAGGCGCCTAAGACGCAGAAGATTGCAAGAACGCTGAACCATACCTTTGACTCTTTCAGAGTTAAAGCTTAATTTTCATCTTGAATAAAAAAAAAAATATTTCCCCTTAAAACGGTCTGTGAAGTGGAGGCAGAGCCTGACTGATCAGTCGTTAACTATCTGCTGAATTTCTATTATACTTAAACCTTTCGTGTAAGTCGCAGGGAAAAGTCCCTCCCTCAGAAGGTCACAGTTGCTCGTGGCAACCGCACACTGAGGGGCTCGCCAATCAACACTTGCTTTTCAAAGTTAAATACCTTTCACATGGAGAGAGGAGAGAAGGCCCTTGTATTTTCAGAATTAAATCTGGTGTGAAAACGTGACAGCACTGGCTGGCACACACAGGAGTCAGGTCTGGGGTCACCTGTGGTGACGTTTCTTTGGTCCCCCAACTGGACCACTGCAGTCAGAACTCCAACCATGGGAAAAATCACAGGATCAGTGGTCTGACCATGGAGCATGTGTGTCAGACTGGGTCTCCACAGTTACTGCAGCTGTGCAGTGGAGGGCAGGCCCAGATGCACATTGGGGCATGGCAACCAGTGAACTGAGGCCTGGAGAGCACATCTGGTACCACGGCAGAGGATGGAGGGCAAACTGGACAGCTCTCCGGGACAAGCTCTGACAGCAAGTAGCTGGGCGATGCAGACTCTAAGGTGCACTGTGTCAGATATTGGGTGTTGAAAGCATTTCCTCATTCTTGGAGCAACAAAATCACCAGCATCTCAGAACTATCAACTAAGCACCTCTCCATAACAATCAAAAACATGCTCCACTGACAGCAAGTGGCCCTTTCCCAGTGCCGGCTACTGAGGCGCTGGGCTGCGGGAGTGGCCTTCTTCCTTTCCCTCCCACTTTACCCAGGTACAGGAAGACAAAAAGGAGATTGGAAACAGTTGTCTCATTCCCTATTCCTTGATCCAACCCGCCCTAATCGGGGTCCACATAGGCATGTATCCTCAACAATGTAAACATCGTCAAAAATAAAATAATTTGGGCCCAGCACAGTAGCCTAGTGGCTAAAGTCCTTGTCTTGTACGTACCGGGATCCCTTATGAGTGCTGGTTCTAATTCCAGCAGCCCCGCTTTCCATCCAGCTCCCTGCTTGTGGCCTGGGAAAGCAGTGAAGGATGGCCCAAAGTCTTGAGACCTTGCACCCATGTAGGAGACCCGGAAGAGGCTCCTGGTTCCTGGCTTTGGATCAGCTCAGCACCAGCCATTGTGGTCACTTGGGGAGTGAATCACTGGACAGAAGATCTTTCTCTCTGTTCCCCATCCTCTACATATATCTAACTTTCCAATAAAATAAATAAAATCTTTTTTTAAATAAATAAAATAATTTATTATATAAAAAAGAAAAGGTAGTCGCACACGGAATATGTTCAGGAACCAGCATGTTGAGGGTCGCACGTTTGATCATTAATTTGTGGAAGTATGGACAGATCAATGTCACCATATGTTTACACAATCAGAGTGTAATTTGCTCAATAATCCCTGGCACCCATCCAGGTGCCAAGTGACTATCTGAAGAAAGCAAACCTATTCCAGAGCCCTGTCCAAAGAAAGAACTGGGATTCCGGCCACGGGATGAATCCTTGGAATTGCTATTACCACTAACTGCAAGTGATGGAGATCACCAGCCCAGCTTCCTGCGCACGACTCCCACGTGGCGCCCCCTGCTGCTCCTGAGGAGCCAGCGCGCCCACTCAGGGCGCTGGAGCAGGGAACCGCCTCAGTGGGAATTCGGATGTGACAGGTGGAAACAACCTCAAGATCCCTTGCTTGTATTTGCAGCAAACTGCCTTAGGAATCTGACTCAGTGAGGTTACAATTAAAATACTCAATTTGGGAAATTTGGAAATATCCCACTAGTAATTCCTGACAAATCTCAACTTACTCACCTTTGTAAATTTCAAAATATAACAGTGAGCAATCCTTTTTAAATCTAATAATTCCACTGAAAACTTCCCGAGGGCCAAAACCAAACCCTTAGTGCAAAGCGGATAGCCACAGCACTGTGTACACCACTGGACTCTGGAAACTACACACAGGGGCAAGTGCAGGTACCCAGCAGCCATTCATGCTCTGGCAAAGCAGAGGCACGGTGGACGCAGAGGTGTCCAACAATTCAGGTGGAGGTTATAAATAAATAGGCAGGGAAAATGATACAAAAATGTATTCTCACATTCGTGAAATTTATATGCACTAGGTATATATGTATGCACAAACATGTATGTGCGATACAAATATATCATACACGCAGGGAAAACTTACATAGGAATATTAAGAATGTAAAAAGTTTATCAATATTTTCTTTCCTTGTTTGCTATTTCTAGATTTTCTAAATGAATCTATGGCTTTTGTGATTAAAAAAAGAGATTATTTTTTCATGGCCGATGAATTGGGAAAATTTCAGGATGTAACAGGTGAAAACAACAAGACAGAAAACTGTCTAAATAATATGGTCCCAGATCTGTTGGAAGAAAGAACAAAAAAGAAGAGAGGGGACCCGGCACAGTAGCCTAGCAGCTAAAGTCCTCGCCTTACAGGCACAGGGATCCCAGCAGCCCTGCTTCCCATCCAGCTCCCTGCTTGTGGTCTGGGAAAGCAGTTACGGACAGCTGTTGTGGCCACTTGGGGAATGAATCAATGGATGGAAGATCTCCCTCTCTGTATATCTGACTTTCCAATAAAATAAATCTTAAAAAAAAAAGGGGGGGGGGAGGGAAGGGAAGGGAGGAGGAGGGGAGAAAGAACTTTAACCTATGCTTCAGTTCTAGATGAGGACTTTGACTTTTTTCTCTGTACTTTGATTTTTCAAACCATTTTAATAATGCACACTTACGGTTTAGGAGCGCAAAAAGGCTTTCTCAGCACTTTCCTACTTCAGGCTGGTTTCACAACAGACTGCTGAAGCATTGCCTAGTTACCAGCACAAAATCCTCAGACACATCCCTTAAGCTGCTGTATCCCAATTTAGATAATAGAGGGCAAATGAGGTTAATTGTTTTCATTTCAAAATAAAATTGAATTTGGTCCTGAAATGGTAGTTGGTGAGGTTACTAAATATTCTCTGGTCTTCCTTTGTGGGAAACATGATGCTGTCATCCCTGGGGGCTGACGACTTCAAAGTGCCTGCACGCTGAACAGGCGTCCTCCAGTCCCCTTGTTTCCAATCAGTCCCACCCCTCCGGCCCTCTGGAGGTGACCAGCCGGGGGAGCCGCCCCCTGCACTGACCTGAAGCACACACATACACTCTGGAAGAGTACCCTGGTTCCGCCACCTTCACAGCCACCACAGCTGCACCGCTGGCAGCAGGAAGGTCCCTGCCCTGGGCACCCTGCCAAGCAGGTGCCCACCCACCCAAGCCTCCCCAGCCCTGCCAGCCATGGTGTGAGCCTAAGGGGTCCTCTGTTGTCCAAGCAATAACAACAACCACCACAAAAATCACATGGGGAAGTTACCTTTTCGTTCAAAGCTTTCCTCTCTAACAAAGCAGACGAGAGCCAGGAACTTGGTCACCTCTTTCAAATACAGCACAGTTGTATTGTTTAGCTTGATGATAGCTGTGGACTCCTTGTCATAGGGGGTGCCTGCTCCATCGTCCTTGAGACTAAATGAAGACACACATTGAGGTCAACGGGAAAAAACAACAGTTTTGACACCCAGAGGTAATCATCAACATACCAAGTCCAAGGTCTCAGAAACAGGCACACGTGCACACACAGCCATCCAAAGTCTCAGAAACAGGCACCTGTGCGCACAGAGCCAGTCAGCGAGGCTAGCCCCACCCTCACCTGCTGACTGGCTGTCGTGGCAGCGGGTGAGGGATGGAGGTCAGCTCTTCGTCCAGAGCCATAGCCTGTGGCTTCTCTTCTTGTGACACACAGCTGAGCCGCCAAAAGCATGGTCTGGGAGCTGGCATGGTGGCTGGGCAGCCTAAAACCCTCCGACTGTGGTGCCAGGATCCCATGTGGGCACCATGTGCGCTCCACTGCCCATCCAGCTCCCTGCTTGTGCCTGAGAAAGTAGCGGAGGATGGTCCAAGTCCTTAGCCCCTGCACTCACATGGGAGACCTGGAGGGAAGCTTCTGACTTCCAGCTTCAGACCAGCCAGCTCCTGCCATGGAGGCCATTTGGGAAGTGATCAGTGGAAGAAAGAACAGCTCTATCTCAGCAATTCTGACTTTCAAGTTAAATAAATAAATAAATAAATAAATTTAAAACAGCTAAAATCCTCATCTTGAACGCACCAGGATCCCACATGGGCGCCAGTTCTAATCCCAGCAGCTCCACTTCCCATCCAGCTCCCTGCTTGTGCCTGGGAAAGCAGTCGAGGATGGCCCAAAGCTTTGGGACCCTGCACCCGTGTGGGATACCTGGAAGAAGTTCCTGGATCCTGGCTTTGGACCGGCATAGCATCAGCCGTTGCACTCACTTGGCGAATGAATCATTGGACGGAAGATCTTCCTCTCTGTCTTTCCTCCTCTCTGTATGTCTGACTTTCCAACAAATAAACAAATCTTTAAAAAAAAAAAAAACAGCATGGTCTGACAGAAGATGAAGAAGGACTCTCCAGAGATAGCCAAGCATTGGACTATACCCTGGGTGGGGAGGAAAACCACCAATAAAAGGACAGGATTGGGACTATTGGCAAAAACTGCATATGGCATGTATCTTAATAGTCTAACCATGCTAAATTTGCTTCATTTAATCTTTAGAGAATTGTCTTAACAGGTCAAAGTGGCTAGATCAAAGAAGCATGGTGTCTGCGATTTGCTCTCAAACCATTTCACAAAATCAAACAGTTAAGTATCCGAAAAGGACGTATACGTGGCATAGTGGATTAGCTGCTGCCTGAGAGGACAGAATTTTAAAGCAGCACCAGTTTGAGGCCTAGCTGTCCACTTCCAGGCCAGGTCCCGAGAGCTGCAAAGAACAGACCAAGATACCCATGAGAGAGACTCAGCTGGAGCGCCAGGCTCCTGGCCTCAGCCTGGCCTAGCCTGGCAAGTGCAACCATTTGGGGGAGTGAACCAATGCAGGAAAGAGCTCTCTGGAACTCTACTTTTCAAATAAATAAATCTTTTTAGAGAGCAAAAGTGCTAAAATAGCAAACTGGATAGACATTAGTGAATCCCAAAGAAGGGAATACTGGAACTCACTGCACAACTCCTGCACATCTTCTGTAGGTCTGAATCAAAACACTGGTTTACCTAACAGATGGTGTGGCATGCAGACTGGCAGCTCTGTTATTTACTGCCCAGCTTCTCTGAGCCTGCATCTCCTCACCTGCACCCAGCAGCAATCACTGCAGAGCTTTCTAAGGACAAGTAAATGAAATAACGCACTACAGCACTGACCACAATGCTGAGAACATGTTCAAGGAGCGTTAACTGCTCTTCACTGTGGTTAGGGCTTTCATGATCAACGCTAGACCATAAGGAAACGATGGAAGCAGAGTTACTGGGGCAGGCAGCTCGTCCTGTAGGTAGAGCACCCACACTCCAAACGGGGGTGCCTGGCTCCCAGCTCTGCTCCTCATCCAGCTTCCTGGTAAGGTACAGCAGGAGATGGCTCAAGGATTGGGTCCTGCCATCCACACCAGGGATCCAGAGTGAGTGCTGGAGCTGTCGTTTCAGTCTGGCCCAGCTCCGGCTGTGTGAGCATTTGGGAGTGAACTGAGATGGAAAATCATGGATGGAAGATCTTTCTCCACCCACCCACATCTCTGCCTTTGAAATAAGTTAAACATTGTTTTTAAAAATACTATCAAAGGTTATGACTTCTTTCTCACGGATGAAGGCCATCTCCTTGTCTGAAACTGTATGTAAATTTTCTGCTTATTTTAACGTACCAAATTTATGAATAATTGCTCAGAAATTGGGTAGAGTTGGAATTGTGCTACATCTTAATCACTTTCACATAGACACGGCATTTATTAAGCATTTCTTAAATGTATGTGACATACAAAGCATTCTTATGCACTTCACGTTGTCTCCTCATTCGGAGGAAACCAAAGCTGGGGGAAAAAGCATAACTTGGCCTGATCTGATGATTTCAAACCCAGATCTAACTTCAGAGTTAATGCCTTAGTCGCTTGGTACTGTGTGTCACAGTAAGCTAAGCTCCCATCTATGGTGTTCATACCCCATATAGACACTGGTTCAAGTCCCAGCTACTCCACTTCTGATCCAAGCCCCTGCTTGCGGCCCGGGAAAGCAGCAGAGGACGGCCCATGTGGGAGACATGGGAGAAGCTCCTGGCTCCTGGCTTCAGATTGGCTCAGCTCCGGCTGTTGCGGCCATTTGCGGAGTGACCCAGTGGATGGAAGATCTTTCTCTCTCTGTCTCTCCTCTCTGTAACTCTTTCAATAAGCTTTTTAAAAAATTAATTATTTAATAACTTTGGGAGAGGGAGGAGAGAATTGGATGACATGCCAGATTTCATGAAAACTCTGAATTATGACATATTTTAATGTAAAATGTAGGTTTTTAGTTGATTTTTAATTAGCATATATGTGGCTAATTAAAAGTGAATGGTGGGTTTTAGTGAACTTTAAAATAGGCTCCAACTCCTTATAACCTAGCACAACATGAACACACCTCTCCGATGTCAGAGATGCTTTCACAGGATGACTCTGAATGTCCTGTTTGCAGCTACTGCTGCTCTTAAGACGCAAATTTCCCCTGCTTCTAAGTCATGCTTGAGAAAAAACTAACTAAAACATTTCAAACATCTTACTCAGTAGGGAATGGCATTTAAAATTTACAAGTATACTGAATACTACACAGATATTAGAGTTGTGCTGGCTGGCAGAAGTCAACAGAAAAATTCTTAGGTGACATCAAATGAAAAAAAGCAGGATATAAAATGATATATACATTATTCATAAATTATGCATAAAAAGACATATACAACGGTTGTCTCTAGGGGTAAGATTACCAGCTATCTTAATTTTACTTTCTGTAATGTTATACATTTTCGGCATTACTATCTTCATATTATCAGAAGAAAGCAAATAGGAAGCAAATTAGAACAGCAGAAAAGGCCCTCAGAAACTGATGAGGTTTGGCCATTACAACAGCTATGCTCTACTAAGGTTTCTATCTACAGGCAATGAAATGGGACACACTCTCTGAGGCGAGCCAGAGGGCATGGCTGCGTGTGCATGTCACTGCCCCCATGCACAGCTGCTGTCTGTGGCAGACCCTCAGGTCACCTGCTCCCATGTCTCCACGGGCAGCTGGGAATGGCCAGCAGCAAGACCTGTAGTTACAGGGACACTCCACACCGATCCCCACCCACTCCCGCCAGCTAGTCAGGCTGGCTCATTGCTGCTCCAGCAAAGGACCTGAGGAAATCCCAGCTCCGGCAAGCCCTCTGTGACCCAGACTGGTTCTGACTGAATGCATGGGTTCCAGCATACACTCCCTCATCACAGAAAAACACTGCTGCCCAGCCCAGCCCCACTTCCTCCTGCTGCTCCTGCCTCCCTGTGTTTGTTTTAGCTGGAATAAAGCAACTCTGATTAACATCATTTACATGAACAACTTACCGCTTATATCTAATTACCATATGGCACAATAATGAGCATGCATATCGTTAAATATGTGCCAGATTAATTGTGTTGTTCATTGTACTTGATTACCACAGCAATCTAGACTGTAATCAGGGCTCATTGGTTTCCGGTGACTATTTCAAGGTCATCCACTTACATTTACAAATAGGATACTGCAGGGCAGGAACCCTGGGAAATGAGGCAGATGGCGGCAGAGTTACAGATCCAGTCTGAGTATATGGGACAACAATATTTAGCCAGTTTCTACCAGGTGCTGCAACTAGGAACCGGAACATGCGCTACTCCCCACAATCTGCCGCCACTACCAACCAGCACTAATCCCTCCCCAGTGCGTAAGGGAATAACAAAGAAAGAAATCCCAATGATCTCTGTCACTGAAGAAAGGAATGGCGAGAGATCCTCACACCATCTAAAGCTATCAACCTGTGCGAGGTAGACCTCGGGCACTGGGGAACGAGGAAGCAGCTCTCCTTAGTCACCTCGTGACTAGACAGGATGTAAAGGCCCAACGTAAAAGACGCTACCTTCACACTGGGCGATGACCGATGAGCCGTCAGTTCACACCCAGCCCCTCTGTGAGACACCTGCTCTGCTTATCCAGACTAGTGGATGTCAGCTGACATTCTCAATGCTCCCCACTCCTTGTACAGTTTAGATTCTTCTAAAGCATAGGGAGCTCTATTTTCTACTATAAGACCATAATTAAAAATAACACCAAAATCATCAGGCACTATTGTTCATAATTTTCTGCTGCCCATAGACAATCAAATCTTATTTTTTGAAAAATTAGCAGTTAACTTTTATAAGAGTATGACAGAAATGTTAAGATATCTGTTTGGGAGGAAGTCACTGGTTTCTTCCAAGTATATGTAGCATCATGTCATGTTCACTGATTCTTTTTTTTTAAAGATTTATTTATTTTTATTGCAAAGTCAGATATACAGAGAGGAGGAGAGACAGAGAGGGAGATCTTCCATCCGATGATTCACTCCCCAAGTGACCACAACGGCAGGAGCTGAGCCGATCCAAAGCCAGGAGCCAGGAACTTTCTCCAGGTCTCCCATGCAGGTGTAGGGTCCCAAAGCTTAGACCATCCTTGACGGCTTTTCCAGGCCACAAGCAGGGAGCTGGATGGGAAGTGGAGCTGCCGGGATTAGAACTGGCGGCCATATGGGATCCCAGTGCATTCAAGGCGAGGACTTTAGCCCCTAGGCCATTGCATCGGGCCACCATGTTCAATGATTCTTTAGAAGAACTGCAATCAGACAGACCTGAATTCAACCTCAGGTTAGAGATTGAACCAATCAGAGCTGCAGTTTCTATAACTGGACAACAGAAATTCCTGCTTTGTGGAACAGGAATGGGATGGGGCCCGGCGTTGTGGCACAGCAAGTTAAGCCACAGCTTACAACATGCCATCCCATACTATAGTGCTGGTTGGAGTCCCAGCTGCTTCACTTCTGACCAGCTTCTTGCTGATGTCCCTGGGAAAGCAGCAGAGGATGGCACATGTACTTGGGCTCCTGCCACATACATGGCAGAATCAGCTGGTACTCCAGGATCCAGGTTTCAGCCTGGCCCAGCTCTGGCTTCTGCAGCCATTTGGGGAGTGAACCATCAGAAAAAAAGAACTAACTCTTTCTCTCTTTTTCCTCCCTCCCTGTCTCCCTCACTCCCTGTCATTCTGCCTCTCAAATATATGAACTAAATCTTATGTATTTATTATTTGAAATACAGAAAGAAGGAGAGACACAGAGATCTTCCATCTTCTTGTTCACTCCCGATTGCTGCTATGGCCGGAGCTGAGCCGATCTGAAGCCAGAAACTTCTCCTGAGCCTCCCATGTGGATGTAGGATCCCTGGAAGTTGAGCCATTCTCTGCTCTTCACCCAGATGATTAGCAGGGAGCAGCTGGGACTCGAACTGGTGTCTATATGGGACGCTGGCACTGTAGGCCGAGGCTTAGCCGCAGCACTGGCCCCAAAAATAAAATAAATCTTATTTTAACAAAGATTAGAGAGTGGCACTGTGGCATAGCCAGCAGGGCCTTTGGCACTACTATTTTATATTTGCACTGGTTTGAATCTCAGCTGTTCCACTTCCAATCCAGCTTCTTGCTAATAGCCTGAGAAAAGCATTGCTTGGGCTCTTCTACCCAGACAAAGCTCCTGGCTTCGGCCTAGCCCAGCCCTGGCTACTGTGGCCATCTCGGAAGTGGACAAGCAGCTAGAAGATCTCTTTCCCTCTGTTTTTCCTTTTCTTTCTCTGTATCTCTGACTTTCAAATAAATAAATCTTTCAAGATTAAGTGATATTATCTGCTCCACAACTAAGTGTTATTATTATTATTATTATGCAGACTAAATGGTATATTTATTTACAGATCTCAGTCATTCAAATCAAAAACACTAAGGCAGGTTAGTACATGGCAAAACACCTCAAACTTATGAAAGAGAAGGATGGGGTGACTGTGGTCTTAAAGAATATTTCACCTGAGGCTTGTGTTTAACTTCTGACCCAACTCCCTACTAGTACTCTTGGGAAAAAAGCAGCAGACTACTGAAGTCCTTGGGTCCCCATACTCATGTGGGAGACCTGAAGAAATTCGTGGCTCCTGGCTTTGGCCTGGCTTAGTCCTGGCTGTGTAGCTATTTGGGAAATGAATCAACAGATGGAAGATCTTTCTCTCCCTATAACTCTGCCTTTCAGATAAATATTTTTGTTTTTTTAAAAATGTTTCACTTACCCATAAATACAAGAAATGTCAATAACCACATCTATCATATCACAGCAGAGTTCATAGGTTTGCATATCCACTGGAGTACTGTCAGTTGCGATATAGATTTTGCTGACCACATCAAAAAGAAATGCCTTTTCGATTCCCGAATTCTGAAACAAAAAGAAGATGCTACCTGGAAGTAATGGTTGAAATCAGACATTGCTGAAATCATAGGTTGTTACATAAAATGACACATCAGCCTCAACACAAACCATGAGCTAGCAGAGATTTTCTAAACATTTGAATCATACCATTTTATCACAATTTAAACTTCATTGCCATAAACTACAATATTTGCATAAGAAATGAACAGCAGGGTCAGCATTGTGGCATAGCTCGTAAAGGCCCCATGGGCACTGGTTCATATCCCCACTGCTCTACTTCCCATTGAGCTTCCTGCTAATGTGCCTGGGAAAAGCAAAGGAAAATGTCCCAAGAGCTGGAGACCATTTCACCCACGTGGGAGTCTTGGATGAAGCTCCTGGCTTAGAGCTAGCCCAGCGTGGCATGGTAGCCATGTGGGGAGGGAACCAGCAGATACAAGATCTTTCTCTGTTTCTCCCTCTCTGTAACTCTTTCAATAAATATATTTTTTTAAATGAAAAGTTAAATTATCACATATTATTTATTTTAGGTGAACAAATTAGACAGTACTTCTTAACTCTTAGAAATGTACCTGCAATTAGAAAAAGATCAAGTAAAAAACCACTAAATTTCCTGAGTGTGAGTCAAAAACTAAATCATAAAAATCTGCACAAACTAACCCAAAATTGTATGATGACAGAGTAGCTGTTGAGCACACCCAGCAGATCCACCTCTTGCTGCTCGACAGAGCTGCCCTTGGGTGGGCAGTCTGCAGGCTCAGGCAGCACACCCTTCCCAGCTACTCCACAGGAAAAGTCTCATTGCCAATGTCACAGATATGTTTCCTACCTCAGTGAGGATCCCGCAAATGTAGAATGACTGTCTACAATTTGAGTATTTCACACAATTAAATCAATGGAGTACCGGAATCTTTTCTGGGACTTAAACGGTAAAGGATCTAAACCGGTATGTAGCAGTGAACTTTCGAAGTAGTCCTTAAACAACATTGAAATGCTCTGAAAGTAACCAGCAGTAAGACTGTTTTTGCTTTTGCAATACTTTCTTCAAATTCTGCAAAGATTCTAACAGGTGCACATGACTGACTTACGGAGATAAAGATGTTTAGCAAATTCTCCAGAGTCGGGAGCTGTGGAATCAATTTCTGCACCACTTTGCTAAAAGCTTCAAATATCGAATGATCGTATATGCTCGTCAGATAGAAGCTGAAAGAGGAAACAATATTTCATCATGCTGTTCCTGTGACCGAGCAATAGCTGTGTCAGCTATTTCATAATCTCCGTCATCTGTCTTCAATAACTACATCTCTAACACACGGGATAGTTCCCTTCGGAATTCATGATGATCGTGGTGGAAAGCAAGCACTTTATAAAGTTATTCCTGCCCACCTGTGCCTGGCCTCGTCTGGTAACTGCAGAGCTTAGGGGTGTAGCACTGAGCACACATGGCTTCCCCACCATCTGCAGGAGCACCCACACCAGCTCACCTTGACCTGAGCCCCCCAGGAGCTGCTGCTATATCCACGATTTGGAAAGCAAATGCTGCATATACTACTCCACCAAAAACCAATCACCGAAAAGTTGCTTTGCTCTGTGGGTTTTCTTTGAATTACTTTCACGCTATGCCTTTATTATTGATTATGGGGATGATTCTGTTTCTTAAGAAACATAAACTGCAGCACCAAAGTTGGCTAATCCTCCATCCTGTGGCGCTGGCATTCCATATGGACAGCTGGTTTATGTCCTGCCTGTTCTACTTCTTATCCAGCTCCTGCTCGTGGCCTGGGAAAGCAGTGGAGATGGCCCAAGTGCTTGGGCTCCTTCACCCATGTGGGAGACCTGGAAGAAGCTCCTGGTTCCCAATTTCACCCAGGCTCAGCTCTGGTCTTTGCAGCCATTTGGAGAGTGGATGAAAGAGCTCTGTCAAATGTGCTTTTCAAACAAAAGTAAATATTGGGGGGCAGGGGGAACACATAAACTTCAGCACTGACTTCATAGCTTGTATTCATAGGTTTTATGTTACGGTTTATTTGTGAGTGGGAGAACCCTGACTCTGACCAATTAAAATACCTATAACCAAAATGCAACAGCTTCCCCAGCAAGCTGGAATGAGCTTGCACACCCTCATTCTTTCCCCCAAGTTCCAACATGGCATCTGTGGGTGCATGAGGTGACTGACTAGCCGTGCTAGACCCATAGTGTGGATTCTGGGGCCCCAACCTCTCTGTTCCCCATCCTTTCCTGGGATCCCCAGGGGACTTCCATTCTCACCTCAGGTGAATTTTCTCCAATCCAGCATCGGCCAGGTCATCATTTGCTCTCTGGTGAATATCTCTCTGGGTTTCAATTTTGTGGTCATCTGACAGGCCATCCACTTTGTGAATGAACACCTCGAAGTTGATGTCGGTGTTCACCTTGTAGGCCCTGGTCACCGTGAGGTGCAGCCTGGCCAGGGCTTCCATGTAGTCATCCTGTGGACAGAAGTGACGCCCGTGAGAGAAGCTGCCTGCCTTCCTGAGCTTTCCACACACCTGTGAGAGAAACCGCTTGTATTCCTGAGCTTGCCACACACATGCTCTGCACTATGTGCCTAGCAGCCTCAAAATATTTTGCAGTCCCCCCTCTCTCCTCCCACAATCCCCCAAAAGAAAGCTGGCTTCATGGAATTCAGGCTTGAAAAACCTGAGTTATGTTAACAAAGACAAGAAAAAAGGAAGGCTAAAAGATGCAGCTGGGGCCCAGTGCCATGGCCTAGTGGCTAAAGTCCTCGCCTTGAATGCACCCGTATCCCATATGGGTGCCAGTTCTAATCCTGGCAGCTCCATTTCCCATCCAGCTCCCTAACTGTGGCCTGGGAAAGCAGTCAAGGATGGCCCAAGCTTTGGGACCCTGCACCCGCATGGGAGACCCGGAAGAGCTCCTGGCTCTCGGCTTTGGATTGGCTCAGCTCCAGCCATTGCAGCCACTTGGGGAGTGAATCATCGGATGGAAGATCTTCCTCTCTGTCTCTCCTTCTCTCTGTCTATCTGACTTTTTCTTTAAGATTTATTTATTTATTGGAAAGTCAGATAGACAGAGAGGAGGAGAGACAGAGAGGAAGATCTTCCGTCCGATGTCTCACTCACAAGTGAGCACAACGGCCGGTGCTGCACCGATCTGAAGCCAGGAGTCAGGAATCTCTTCCAGGTATCCCATACGGGTGCAGGGTCCCAAAGCTTTGGGCCGTCCTCGACTGCTTTCCCAGGCCACAAGCAGGGAGCTGGATGGGAAGTGGAGCTGCCGGGATTAGAACCGGCACCCATATGGGATCCCAGTGCGTTCAAGGTAAGGACTTTAGCTGCTAGGCCATGCCGCCAGGCTCTGTATATCTGACTTTGCAATAAAAATAAATAAACCTTTAAAAAAAAATGTAGCTGCATCAGCTGTTGACACAGAGGTTCAAGTTCCTGCTTGGGACACTTGCAAATGCCTCATTCTTCGACTTCTAATGTGCCCTCTGGCCGGGCAGAGGACAATGGCCCAAATGCTTGGGGCTCCTGCACCCATGTAGAGGACTGAGACAGAGTTCTATCCAGGCTGCTGGCATTAAGCTGGTCCAACCCTGGCTGTGGTGGGCATTTGGGGAGTGAACCAGCAGAGGAAGATCCCTTTCTGTTTTTAAAACAGAATGAGACGAATAAAAATTAAAACTGCAGCTGGGCCCGGCAGCGTGGCCTAGTGGTTAAAGGTCCTCGCCTTGCACGCCCGGGATCCCATGTGGGCGCCGGTTCTAATCCCAGCAGCCCCGCTTCCCTTCCAGCTCCCTGCCTGTGGCCTGGGAAAGCAGTCGAGGACGGCCCAAAGCTTTGGGACCCTGCACCCGCGTGGGAGACCCGGAAGAGGCTCCTAGCTTCGGATCGGCATAGTGTCGGCCCATTGCGCTCACTTGGGGAGTGAATCATTGGACGGAAGATCTTCCTCTCTGTCTCTCCTCTCTGTATATCCACCTTTCCAATGAAAAAATAATAAAAATAAATCTTTAAAAAAAAAAAACTGCAGCTGACTCAGCCAGTTAGAATTGAAGCTGAGGACAGCCATAATTGTAGTTCAAGGAAGAGAAAGAGTCCACATTGCACTACTTGGGACCTGCCAGGGACTGCTACCTCTTCCAGCCTTTCACATGTCTTGGTGGACTGTGATGTCCAATGAGAGACAAGGACATGATAGAGAGTGCTGGGGCGGGGGGGGGAGGGAGGCAGCTGGGGAATCATTGGTCCCTGCGGCCAGCATTATGGTACAGTTACATTAAGCCTCTGCTTGCGGTGCTGGCATCCCATAGCGTAGCCACAGTTTAAGTCCTAGCTGCTCTGCTTCCAATCCAGCTTCCTGCTGATGGGAATGGACCAGCCTCCATCACAGTAGCCATTTGGGGAGGGAATCAACAGATTAACGATCCCTCTCCAATTCTCTTTCTCTCTGTTAGTTTACTTTTCACACAAATAATTAAACCTTTAAACAAAAACCACTTGTCTATGGCAGAATCTAGCAAATCCTGACCCTCAGGCTCACTGCCTGTCCTGGTTAGGGAACACAGCCTTGCTCACTGTTCACAGACTACCTGCAGCTACTGTGCGGGATAGCTCTCCTCTGCAGAGAACCCTCAGCTCTCAGTTCCTTACTGTCTGGCCCTTGAGAAAGCCTGCCATGCCCCGGTCTACAGCAATTCCCCAAACAATACAATACTACTTTTTTTCCTTCCTAGACCTATGAGGGAACTTCAGAAAAGTTCATGGAAAATAGGATTAGAAGTGTATTTTGTTACAAAAAAAAAAACCAAAAAAACAACACACAACATATCTGATGTCCATGCATACTTGGGAGTCTTCAAAAAGTTTATGAGAAATGCAAAGAATCGATGCTCCAATTTCAAGGCATTTTTCATCAAAATACACTGCTATTCTGAACATTTTTAATTTCTATTTTACTAGATAGGGAAACAGATGCCTTCATCTGCTCGTTCACATCCCCAAAGCCTACCTCAGTAAGGGCAGGGCCCAGCTGAGGCCTGAAGCAACAACCTCAATCTGAGATTCCCACGAGGGCAGCTGATACCCTAGTTCTTGAGTCGTCATTCGATGCCCCCTAGGGTGCACACTGGCAGGAAGCTAGAGTCAGCAATGCCCGGGATTCTGACCGCTCATGGAACACCTGCACTTAAAACTCATATTAACCACCTGGAGTGATAGCCTAGTGGCTAAATCCTCACCTAGCATCCGTTGGGATCCCATATGGAAGGGAGGAGTGGTGTGGAAAGGCAGAGAGTAAAAGGCACTTGCACAGCCCCTCCAGCTGTGGTGTCAGGAGCTGGGCCATGTTCGGAGGTAGAGGATGGGGCTGCCAGAGACATGAGGCCACCTGGGAATTATACTGCACCACAAGGAGCTTTAATGTGCACATTTTCAGGACATCTGATTCTTTGGTGTTGAACGAAGCAGATGCATCCCAGGAAAGGGGGCATTTTAACTGACAAATAGGAAGATAGAATTGCATGTGGGGGCTTGTGACTCCCAGCCCAGCACACCTAACCCAGCTACCTGCCCATTTACTTCTACATCGCGATGTAAGGAGAGCCCCTCGCATCTCCAAAGATTAGACACTGCTCTTCTAACCTCCCTACCCAGTATGCACTGGCTCCCAACCAACAGGCAAGCAGCACAGAATTACAGGGCCGAAACCTAACACAAAGAAGCAGAAAAGACTTGATTTAAGAGAACCTAGCAGTGGCATGTGAGTTTTGCTGTGTCCGCTGCTGTGTTCCCCCATACCTAGTTTCTGCTCTGAAATGAACTCTCAGACATACACAAGCTGCTGTCACCAACAGAGGCTAGGAAGATGCTGTCTGGAGCAGTGGCTGTGAGATGGGGGCAGCCACGGGTTCTGCAGGGAACACTGTCACACACTTGCCTCACAGAAAACCACTCTTGCTTTCTTTTGTTTTCATTCCACAGTGTTCTGTGAGGACACATTTTCTCCATGGAGACATATTTATCTAGCCATCTTGTGACTGTGAGAAACTCAGAAGCAAAAAATAAAACATGAGATGTCAGACCAAAATAGTCCTCCTTGGCAATGAAGGCAGGGCCGCTGTGGCTGCTGGTCTTCCCCCTTGTGGTACTTGTACTCGGACCACACAGTCTGCTTCCAGATAAAAGGTGTAGCAGGCTCTGAAACGAACTCAATGATACTTTTCCTACTTGTTTTAAAAGTGCAATGTAGCTGCCGGGACTGTGGCATAGCCCGTGGCCCTGGCATCCCATACAGGCACTAGCTCAATCCCCGGCTGTTCCACTTCTGATCCAGCTCCTTGCAAATATGCCTGGAAAGGCAGAGAAATACAGGTCCCTGCAGCCATGTGGGAGGCCTGGAAGAAGTTCCTGGCTTCAGACTAGCTCAGCTTGAGCCACTGTTGCCATTTAGGGAATGAATCAGTGGATCAAAGACCTCTCTCCCTGTTTTTCCCTCTCTCTCTGTAACTCTGCCTTTCAAATAAACTAAATACATCTTTTTAAAAACTTACCTCTTCCTCTGCTCACTAGCCTAAGAAAAATCCCAGGAGAGGATATAAACTAAAAAATAATTTACCAATCCCCAACTGAAGTTCAAGTCTGAATATATGCTTGTCATGTATAGTTAATTTTGAGAGCAAATTACAGGTACAATGTAAAAACAAGGCACTGGTACCATTCTGGCCATGGCATGAATGCCTAAGACAGATCTGCACTGAAGTTTTGATTCCCTGAACACAAACCATAAGCACGCCACACTAGTTAAGTAAATAGTAAGCCCTGGCCTTCCCCTGGTGAGTCACCTGATTGCAATCTACTCACCCTTGGGCAGGGTCATAACCAGTGCCACCCAGGGCCCCCAGCTGTACAAAATAGCCTCATGCAGACCTACAGAGGAAACAGAGCCCAGAGAGGAAGACGGGCACGACAGCTGTCTCCCACCTCACCCTCCCGCTGCCAGTACCCCCTATCTGCCACCCTCAGGCTCTAAGCTCCCTAATTCATGGTGCTGGCAGACCTGTGACAGGAAGTCAAGGGAGCCTGCCAAGGCCACAGATGGGCCAGGAAACAGGTCAGTACAAGTGGGACAGCCAGGAGAGCAGCTGCTGACAGCAGGCCTTGGACGCACTGCAGGTGTCTGCAGACATGCATGACCTGGACATTTCTAGGTGGGCCCAGGGAAGGAGAGTGAATGGCTGTTCACAGCTCAGGCCCTGGACTTAAAGGCTCTCCCCCCTGTACCCCCAGCACAAAAGGAAAGAAAGAACCCCTATAACCACATGGCCATGTGCCCATAGTCCACAGTGCAGCCATGTGGAAAAGAAAGTTCCACTATTGTACTGAACAGACAGCTAGTTCCCTGAGCAGGTTTACGATGCCCTGTCGCAGGCCAGCTTGCAAGCGCAGGCTCAGGGCTGTCATCACAAAGCCTTCACAGCACTTCCTTGCTGATCCCTCAGGAACCCATGGCAGGGCAGGCTGGGTATACATCCCCGCAGCTAGCCACCTGTCTGATAGTTGGGGCCATCAGGCCAGGCAAGCATAAAGGCCTGAACTTCAGGGTCTGGCTGGCACATGCCTCAAGGGCCTGCTGCCTGTCAATGCTGACAGTGCCAGAAAGCCCTGGGAGGGCCTTCAGCTGGGCCATGGTCACGCACCCCTTCTCAGAGGTCCTCCATGATATGAGGAGACAAGAGCAGCTGTGCCCCAACTCTGTGACTCAGGCGCCTTCCTGAAGGGGATCTGGCTCCTGTACCTGGGCCCCGGCTTGCCTTTCCTCCCTCCCCTGGCACAACCACAGAGACGGACCTCAGGGGGCATGGAGCCCACAGGCGAGGGTACCTTCTCCGATGCTGTCCTGAGTCTCATGATCTCTGGGTGGAGGGGCTCCCAGTCCTCTGCTTCCTGCAAACCCCAGAAGGACCTGCCCTGGGGGTCTGTTCCCAAGCCTAAAGCCACTGTGTGTGAGTGTGCGTGTCTGTGTATGTGTGCATGTGTGCGTGCCACAAGCTGCATAATTAAGAGGAATATTCCTTGGGAGGACATTCAATAATCAAGACTACAGCTACAGCAAAACTCCCCCTCTCCTCAACCACCTGCTTATTTGTGAACCAAATTTCTCAAGGTTTACATCTAGATACAGAGGAAACTCCAACAAAACTAATGTCAAACCCCGTCTTGCTGGAGCCTGGACATGTAAATTAAATGGAGAAACATCAAATATGCCTAGTTTAGAGACAGACGTATCTCAAGGTTCACTTTTTAAATTTCTTTAGAAAACACACAGAACAGCCATTTATGGACTAACAACACTGATAAAAATGTGATTTTGAAAGATCCTTTCTCACACTCAGAACGTCATAAGAAATCCTATATAAACTTGCATTCATTATTTTGGTGCAAGGAACCTGTAATCTCGTATCCCTGTCTACCCAGGACCCCACAGGGAGGGTGGGTTGATGCATGCAAAGGTTCTCCCAAAAGCTTATGAAGATTTGGTGCCACTAAAAATAATTTAAATCCATGCGCAGTCCTTTCATAATACCCATTTTCCATGAACTTTCTTAAGGCCTTTGGTATTTCCCAACCTCGGCTAACTGCTGCCTGGCAGGCTTGTGGAGAATTGCCAGCCGCTGAGGCAGACACAGTTCCCCAAGGGTGGGCTGCGGCTCTGGACCCGGCTTCTTCCTCCCAAATGCCCCGGGCCATGGCAGAAATGTGTGTAAAAGAAAAGTCCAGTTCAAATCTAGCAACAAACAAAAAGCCAGCCCCCATGGTGGGGAAGGGGTGCTGTCCCGAACACCGGGAAAGTCAGCTTTACCTGGGAGTCGATAACGAAGATGAGGGCTCCTGTGCCCCGGAAGATCATCTCGTAGTCAAAGGTGGGGTCGAAGAAGTCGATCTGCCCGGGGAAATCCCAAATCTGAAAGTTGACAAAGGAGCTGTTGGAGACGTCCTCCCGGCAGATCTTGTTGGTGCTTTCCAGGAAGAGCGTCTCATTGGGCGACATCTTGTGGAAGACGACTTTCTGAATGGACGACTTGCCGCTCCGCCTCAAGCCCATCAGCAGGATCCTGGGCTTCACCTCCGAGCTGAACGGGTCGCTGAAGTCCAGAACTGCAGAAACCACAGAATCAGACGGAGACTGAGCACCAGGCTCTGGGTGGCTAGGCTGGGTGGCCAAGCTGGGCTTTTGCTTCTTCCAGCGGAGGCTGCTCTGCCAGGCTTCACACGTGCGTGGTGCTGTGGCGTCCTCCTGCTCCCGGGGCGCAGAGCCCAGCAGGAGGCTGCCTGGCCACCTACTCCACGCAGCCTGAGGCAACGCGCCACACCAGTTCGGCTGGGTCTCCAGGATGAGAAGGACCCAGGGTTCCTGGAGCTGACAGCTGTGTGTCACCCTCTTCTGGCCATATTGTAATGCTTGGGTTTCAGACCAAGCTCCCTGTTAATGTGCACCCCGGGAAGGCAACAGGGGATGGCTCAAGTATTTAGGTCCCTGTTACCCACGTGGGCAATCTGGATTGAGTTCCAGACTCCTAGCTTTGGCCTGACCCCTTGGCCCCTTTAGACTTGCCGGGAGTGAACTATCAGATGAAAGATCCATGTTTGTCTTTCTTTGTGTTTCAAATAAATAATTTCTGTTAAGTTTAAGATATTTGTTTTTATGCAAAAAAAATTTTTAAATCCATGCATCATTTTTTTCAGAATACATATCTTCTACAAATTTTTCAGAAATTCCTTATGTATTCATGGATGCCAATAATTTTTAAAAGGTTTATTTGTTTATTGGAAAGGTAGGGAAGAAAGGGAAGAGGGTCAGGGAAGGGAAGGAGAGAGAGAAAATGATTGAATCTTCCATCCGTAGGTTCACTCCCCAAATGGTCCCAACAGCTGGGGCTGGGCTAAGCTGATCCTAGGAGCTGGGAGCTTCATTCGAATTTCCCATGTGGGTGACAGGGTCTAAGCACTCGGCTTATCCTCCACTGCTTTCCCACATGCATCGGCATGAGGCAGATAGGAAGTAATGCCCCAATATGAGATGAGGGCATCCCAAGTGGTTGCTTACCAGCCCACTGTGCCACAGCCCTGGCTTCTGTGGAGCATAACACAGTACTTAGGTAAGGACTCTGGCTGCATCACCCATTTGCAATACAACAACAACAAAATTCTACAGGGCAGCACTACTCTAGTCCCTGGTAATAATCCAATCTTAAAACCCTTGGCTAAGACTCCTAGAGGATTTAACCATTACTAAGTAGGAATGTATAAAAATTGGAAACCCTGTAGGGCTTTCTCTGTTATCAAGGCATACAGGATTAGTCTCATGATATTCTTTATTTCTAAGCAAACAGCCTTCCTACTGGACTAAACATGTATGCAACTCACAGAAGTGAAGGAAGTGTCAGCCTGCCAGCTGAGGGTCAGAAGCTGAAGTCAGCAAGACCCAAAGTAGGGGCCAGGAGGCCTTGGGCAAGATACTAAGCTTTTAAGACTCAGATTCAAAGTTCTCATGCTATGGAGCGGGTTTCTGCCCTGCACGTGAAGCAATCACTGGGACATGGACACCCAGGTCAGGTGACAGTGTCTGGGTTCCAGGCTCTGTTCTGTTCCTGACTCCAGCTCCCTGTTCTCTAGCTGCAGGAGGAGGATGGCTCAGGTAGCTGCATCCCAGTTACCCCGTGGGAGACCCAGCTTGAGCCATGGCCGCAGCAGGTGTCTGGGCAACGAGCCAGCAGATGCGATGCCTTCTCTTGCTTTCTGATTTTCTCTGTCTCCCAAATAAATAACATTTTAAAATATAATTCTATAAAAGGGAGCTGATAATGAAAATAAATCTGAGTTATTGTGATAATTAAATTGGATCAAAGACCTAAAAGTCGGCAAATGGTGTTGGGTAAACTGGTTTTTCCTTTGCAAATAAGTGAAGCAGATCCTTACCTTGTATCATATGTGCCTCAAAGTGACCACATTTCTAAATTTAAGAGCCAAAACTATGAAACTCTTAAAAGGAAACTTAAAATGGACAAAAATCTTGGCAATTGTGAGTTACGCAACAATTTCTTAGTTCTGACAGCAAAAACAAGTAATCAGACGGGGCGAGACATCTGATGCAGTGCTTCAGACGCCACTGGGGAAGTTTGTGACCACTATGCTTCCGCTAAGGTGTCCCTGGGGAAGCAGCAGGTCACGGCTCAGGTACCCGAGTCCCTGTCACCCATTGACCAAGCCGGAGATCTGGGCTCCCGATTTGGGCCCAGCCCCTCTTGAGTTGATGCTGGTATTTGAGAAGTGAACCAGTAATAGAAATCTTCCTCTGCGTGTGTATATATACAGTCTTTAAGTAAACACAATTTTAGAAAGAAAAAAGTTGATACATTGGACTTATCAAGATTTTTTAGAGGGCCAGCGTTGTCATGGAACAGGTAAAGCTACAGCCCAGATGGGTGCCAGTTCACATCCAGGCTGCTCAACTTCTCCCTGCTGATGGCCAAGGAAAAGCAAAAGAAGGCCCAAGTGGACCTGGATGAAGCTCCTAGCTTCAGCCTGACCAGGTTCTGGAAAGTACGGCCATCTGGAAAGTGAATCAGTACATGGAGATCTTTCTCCCCCTTTCTACAATGGCCTTCGAAATTAATAAATAATTTTTTTAAAGATTTATTTTTATTATTTTTTCATTGGAAAGGTGGATATACAGAGAGGAGAGACAGAGAGGAAGATCTTCCGTCCGATGATTCACTCCCCAAGTGAGCGCAATGGGCCGATACTATGCCGATCCTAAGCCAGGAGCCTCTTCCGGGTCTCCCACGCGGGACGGCCTTGGGCCGTCCTCGACTGCTTTCCCGGGCCACAGGCAGGGAGCTGGAAGGGAAGCGGGGCTGCCGGGATTAGAACCGGCGCCCATATGGGATCCCGGGCGTGCAAGGCGAGGACCTTTAACCACTTGCGCCACCGCGCCGGGCCCATAAATAATTTTTTAAAACATTTTTTAAAGAAAATGAAAATAAAACCTAAAGAATGAGAGAAAACATTACAAATCATATTAGGTGTTAAAGGTCTAGCCTCCTGAATATGTAAAGAATCCTTACAATTCAACAATAAAATAAAATTAAATACAAAGAGGGGGCAGAGGGATCTAAACAGACATTATCCAAATAAGATACGCCAGCAGCCAATAAGCATACAAAAAGAGGCTCTATGTCCTTAGCTGTCAGAGAAATACACATCAGAACTGCAATGAGGTCCATGAGCTCCTTCTAGTCAGCAAGACAACCAACACAAGGCACAGGATTACCAGCAACAGAAAGCCTTAACAAGAAACAGAAGCATGAGCTGGCATTCAGCTTCAAGCACCCCGGGGCAAGAGCCATGGCGTGGCAAATTAAGCTTCCGCCAGCAGCGCCAGCATCCCATGTGGTACTGGCTCAAGTTCCGGCTGCTCAAGCTGCTGGGAAAGCACTAGAGGATGGCCTAAGTCTTTTGGGCCCCTAGGTCCACTATAGGAGAGCCAGAAGAAACTCCTGGCTCCTGGTGGTGGATTAACTCAACTCCACTCTGAGTGTTGTGACCCTTTGGAGGGTGAACCAGCAGACACAAGAGCTTTCCCTCTCTGCCTCTCTGTAAATCTTTCAAATGAAAAAGAAAGAAATCTTTAAAAAAACAAAACTCTCCCTGACATATTCACAGTCCACATGCCTAGAGACTGGGCCTGGGGTACTCCAGAGGCATTGAGCTGCTATTGTCTACACCACGTCCATTAAATGCTGCTGAAGAACTGCACAGGGTTTGCCAACAACACTGCCTACAGTCAGTAGGGAGTCAGGGGTGCAAACCCCATCATGCATAGCCCCCCAAGCAGAGAGCCAGGCTATCTGCTGAGGAGGAAGAATACTGGAAAAAAAAGTATATATATTACAAAAGTGGGCCCAGCATGATAGCCTAGTGGCTAAATCCTCCCTTAAATGCGCCGGGATCCCATATAGACCCCAGTTCTAATCCCGGCAGCTCCACTTCCCATCCAGCTCTCTGCTTGTGGCCTGGGAAAGCAGTCGAGGACGGCCCAAAGCTTTGGGACCCTGCACCCACATGGGAGACCTGAAGGAAACTCCTAGCACCTGGCTTTGGATCGACTCAGCTCCAGCCATTGTGGTCACTTGGGGAGTGAACCAGCAGACAGAAGATCTTTGTCTCTCCTTCTCTGTATTTTTGCCTTTCCAATAAAAAAAAAAATAAAAGAAAGAAAATAACATGTACAAATGACAGGAAGGCAGGCAGGAAGGCAAGCAGGCAGGAAGGCAGGCAGGAAGGCAGGCAGGCAGGAAGGCAGGCAGGCAGGCAGGCAGACAGGCAGGCAGGCAGGCAGGCAGGAAGGCAGGCGGGCAGGAAGGCAGGACAGCCAGCCTCTTTCACCCACTGGTTCACTTCCCAGGCTGAAGACAGAAGACTGACCAGACTGAAGATGGAATGTGTGACTGAAAGGCCGCGCTGTTTCAGAAGGCAGTGCTGGTGGAAGCCCACACAGAGAGATCTGAAGACAAGCCACAAGCTCACTATGGGACACCCTTTGGGGGAGGAGCTAAGGCTGCACCCCTGTCCACTCGCCCCAGCTCACTCTACCACAGCAGGGCATCTCCATTGCAGAGCTGCCAGAGGGCAATGCCCCAGGGACTGACAATGCCCAGAGGAGACTGGAGCATCCACACTTCTGTGCTCAAGCCACTGTGACCTTCCTACCCCCAAACAGCAGGGACAGCGCCACCATCTTCGCTCCAGGCATTTCTTCAAATGCCACATATTTTAGGAACATCAAGATGACAGCAGGGAATGCAGAATCAATAACAGGGAAAAAGTGTACGGTTTCCACCCGAGGAATCACCTAATGAAGGCATTAGAGCACACTTTAATTAAGTATAATTAAAATATTCAGAGATAAATATGCCATTTACTAAGCAAGAACAAATACACAGCAACAGAAGTCACCAAAAAAAACACAATTAAAATATAAAAATATAACAGGGACGTCATGGATTGGAAAGCAGAATACTACACAAATGAAGAGGGCAGTAGTGAACTGGCTTGTGCAGCTCTCAGCACGCTGAGAGGACAGAACACAGGAAAGA